GGGGGGTACTGAGATTATTTTGCTCTCTTGTAAAATCTTGGGATTTTATGATGCTAAGACATCTACACATCTACCAGAGAAAACTTGAGTTTGTTTTATTCAGTTTACGTAAAGTTAAACAAAGTCAGACAGAACATTTGTCTTTTGGGCCAGCTAAAACATCACTTTAATGGACAGTTTAAATGATATTTTGTCTAGCAATCCTTCCTCTATTTTTTATTTATTCAGATTGAACTATGTAGACATGGCAACAAGACACTTCGGTCCAATTCTCAGTCACATTTTTCCACTGACAGATATTCTATTATCTGCTTGAAAAGATAAGTGCTGAATGGAAACATTTGTTTTAAACAATGAAAACACTTCAGCCTGTTATTGTAACCCTTCACAAAAACATGAACGTGGAAATGATCATTAGACAGGCATTTTTAGTGTGATACAAAGAGAAAAAACACACAAACACACAGCAAAAGCTAATCGTTTCCTATGATCAGTTTAAAACGATACATCAGCTCTTTTAAAGGGAGGTTTTATGAAAAGGTTATGTGCAATTCATATCCTATATGTTGCAGATTCTGTAACTTTTTAAACCACCTCAGTTTTTAAAAAAAGCATAATTCTTTTTGGGTTGATGAGCTAATGGCTAGTCCAAGATGGACACTTGTAAAATTGTTTTCTGCCTTCAAACAACTACAAAATTTCATCAACTGTTCATTCAAATATTTTTCTATTTTTAGACCTTTACACCACAATCAGTTTTACTTTATCCACCTATTCCAGCAGAAACAAGATGATTTTCCTGCAGGGAAAGCTCACAGGCTGTGTCAGAAGTGCTAACGCTAGCTGCTGCCCTCCTTTTTTTTTCTAATTCTAGGTAAATAATTTTTTTATGATGTTAGTTCATCACTCTGGTCAGAACTAAGACTGATCTACAACAAGTAAGATTATTTTTTGCTATTGTTTTAGTCTATTTTTTTGTTGGCTGGCTGTTAAATTTAAACCCAACCAGGTAAGAACCATAGAAAAGATCAATGATGGTTCTGGTTACAAAAAGAAACTTACAGCCAGTGTTAGTTTTTGTGCAGCAGAACAGAGAAATWTGGTGTTGTAGCATGAGAAGAATGAGACACAAACTGACTCCAAACCAGCTGACTTCCCTCAGTGCCAAAACCACAAAGTTAGCACAGAGCGACATACAGTATATGGGATAAGAGAACTGTCAGAATTATTGCATCTGTAAGAGTCTAAATTTGTACATGTAAGATATATAT